TACTATGCGAGTCGCTAAGATGTCTTTTCTGTTGGGGAAACACTTGATGTCTTGGTCCTTTGATACATCTTGAATCATACAAGATATGACACACATCTTTCACCAGCTGCCCCTGACGACTCGGACACACAGTGGCTTTCAGAAAACACAAGGCAGCTTTTTTAGAAGCCAGAAGGCTACTTCAAGAACCCCAGAAGGCATCTTTTTACAAACCAGAAGGTGACTTTAGAAACCCAGAGGGATACTTTTTAGAAACCCGAGGGTGATGTGTAGAAAATAAGAGACAACGGTTAGAAACAAGACGGCACCTTTTACGAAATATAAGCTGACTTTGACGAAACATTAGGCAACTTTTTTATTCAACATAGGGCGCCTTTTAAGAAACACGAGACGACTTCACTTACAAAGCCAACATTTTCTTTTCCCGACTAGCGAAAGGTCGCATACTTAGGAACACATAAACCTTTCTTACTCCTATCACTGCTCTCGCTAAACAAGAAACAACACAACAACTTGTCGTCGCACTGTCGAAACAAACAAAATAACCTTTTGTCATTGAGCTGGGGAAACTTGGAAACTGTTCATTTCTTCTTCTTCTTCTTCTTCTTCTTCTTCTTCTTCTTCTTCTTCTTCTTCTTCTTCTTCTTCTTCTTCTTCTTCTTCTTCTTCTTCTTCTTCTTCTATGAACAGTTTTCCAAGTTTCCCCAGCTCAATGACAAAAGGTTATTTTGTTTGTTTCGACAGTGCGACGACAAGTTGTTGTGTTGTTTCTTGTTTAGCGAGAGCAGTGATAGGAGTAAGAAAGGTTTATGTGTTCCTAAGTATGCGACCTTTCGCTAGTCGGGAAAAGAAAATGTTGGCTTTGTAAGTGAAGTCGTCTCGTGTTTTCTTAAAAGGCGCCCTATGTTGAATAAAAAAGTTGCCTAATGTTTCGTCAAAGTCAGCTTATATTTCGTAAAAGGTGCCGTCTTGTTTCTAACCGTTGTCTCTTATTTTCTACACATCACCCTCGGGTTTCTAAAAAGTATCCCTCTGGGTTTTCTAAAGTCACCTTCTGGTTTGTAAAAAGATGCCTTCTGGGGTTCTTGAAGTAGCCTTCTGGCTTCTAAAAAGCTGCCTTGTGTTTTCTGAAAGCCACTGTGTGTCCGAGTCGTCAGGGACAGCTGGTGAAAGATGTGTGTCATATCTTGTGTGATTCAAGATGTATCAAAGGACCAAGACATCAAGTGTTTTCCCCAACAGAAAAGACATCTTAGCGACTCGCATAGTACCAATGTTAATTAATGACTTACCAAGAGAGGTTAGTGAACGAGTGACTAACGTTGTCCTACGACGCGCCGACACCGCCGAAGACGAGCAAATTAGGAGGAAGACAACTGCAAAGACGACGAGTCTCCTGTTTTCCTAAAGTCGCATCGTGTCCGAGGCAGCCGGGACAGTTAGTAAAAAACCTTGGGTTATGCAGTCGACGACGAAGACGACATTAGAGGCGACGATGACGCCGAAGACGACGACCCGCCGAAGTCAACAAGGAAGACGACAACGAGGACGCTGACAACGCCGGAAGCAACGAGGAAGACTTAAGTGACCTAATATGTCTCGTCAAGAAAAATATCGGGTGGTTGCTGGGTCCCAGGGGCAGTGCACTACTTACTAAGAACCGTCGGCAACTGACTTGACAATACCAGTGAAAGACATGCTCTGTCTCTTGCGTGCTTTGTGGTGTCCCGTAGAGAAAACCATCGAGTGATTTGCTGTGTCAGAAGGACAGTTAGCTACTTAATAGGAACCTTAGGTGACGAATTGTCCAAGACCAGTGAAAGATATGCTCTTTTCTCTTCCGTGGCTTACGGTGTCCTATGAAGAAAAACATCGGGTGACTTTTGTGCGCCAAGGATAGTGATCGGGTTACCCGGCGTCTTCGTATCGCCTTGTGGAAGACCCGTGAAAGACATGCGATGTCTCGTGCGTCCTTTACGTTGTCCGTCGAGAAAGATATAGCGCCTTTTTGGTACCCAAATTGCCCCAGCTCCCTTTGCCCCCAAGGATAGTGATCGGGTTATCTGGCGTCTTCAGTTATTGCCTTGTACAGGACCAGTGAAAGACATGTAACGTCTCGTGTGTGTTTTCACGCTGTTTGTCTGAGAAAGCCATAGCGCTCCTTTCCGGACCTAAACAATTCTCTCACACCCAACTTCGTCGCCGGGTAGCGGCCGCCTTCGACCTACAAACCTGAACCCTTATGAGGGTGATCATAACCCTCTGACACAACAGTTTCTTTTTTTTCCTCTCAAACAGCGCAATATATATGACCAATAGGCCGTACCCAGCCATCGTCGACGTACTCGTCGATATGAAGGTGACAACACTCACGTCTTCGCTCTTTTTGCTATTTCTCCACCAATCCACACGTAACCACTATGTTCCTCCATACTCTACGGCTGCAGATAGCCCACCTCGGCCACTGCGCTGTGTGTACACAGCACGTGCAGATCTCCAAGTCCCCATCTAATCTGGTACTCAACAGGTCATATCATCACAGATACACAGTGATTACATTTAAAATCTAACTCTTGCATATTACCACAGAAGTGAACATTTAATCTTAACTTCTCTGTCACTCTACCACAGAAGTGATACATTTAACCTAACTTCCTGTCACTATTACCACAGAAGTGGATACATTTAAACTCTAACTTTCTGTCACTATTACCACAGAAGTGATACATGTAAACTCTAACATCTCGTCACTATACACAGAAAGGATACATTTAAACTCTAAATTCTCGTCACTATTACCACAGAAAGTGATACATTTAAACTCTAACTTCTCTGTCACATATTACCACAAGAAGTTATACATTTAAACTCGAACTACTGTCAACATTACCCACAGAAGGATACATTTAATCTTAACTTCCTCTGTCACTATTACCACAGAAGTGATAACTTTAAAACTCTAACTTCTCTGTCACTATTTACCACAGAAGTGATACATCAAAAACTCTAACTTCTCCGTCACTATTACCACAGAAGTGATACATTTAAACTCAACTTCTCTGTCACTATTACCACAGAAGTGATACATTTAATCTCTTAACTTCTCTGTCACTATTACCACTAGTACCACAGAAGTTGATCACATTTAAACTCTAATTTTCTCTACTTCACTGTTACCACCACAGAAGTGATACATTTCAAACAAACTTCTCGTCTCATTACCACTATTTAACTTGACCACACAGAAGTGATACATCTTTAAACTTCTAACTTCTCTGTCACTATTACCACAGAAGTGATATATTTCATCTCTAACTTCTCTGTCAATATTACCACAGAAGTGATACATTTCATCTCTAACTTCTCTGTCACTATTACCACAGAAGTGAGACATTTCATCTCTAACTTCTCTGTCACTATACCACAGAAGTGATACATTTAAACTCTAACTTCTCTGTCACTATACCACAGAAGTGATGACATTTCATCTCTAAATTCTCTGTCACTATTACCCAGAAGTGATACATTTCATCTCTAACATTCTCTGTCACTATATACCACAGAAAGTGATACATTTAAACTCTAAATTTATCTGTCACTATTACCACAGAAGAAGGATAAAAACATTTTATCTCGAACTTCTCTGTCACTATTACCACAGAAGTGATACATTTAATCTTAAACTTCTCTGTCCTATTTACACAGAAGTGATACATTTCATCTCTAACTTCTCTGTCACTATTTTACCACAGAAGTGATACATTTAAAACTCTAACTTCTCTGTCACTATTACCCACAGAAGGATAAATTTAAACTCTAACTTCTCTGTCACTATTACCACAGAAGTGATACATTTAAACTCTTAACTTCTCTGTCACTCATTACCACAGAAGTGATACATTTAAACTCTAACTTCTCTGTCACTATTACCACAGAAGTGATACATTTCATCTCTAACTTCTCTGTCACTATTACCACAGAAGTTGATACATTTAAACTCTAAACTTCTCTGTCACTATTACACAGAAGTGATACATTTCATCTCTAAACTTCTCTGTCACTATTACCACAGAAGTGATACATTTCATCTCTAACTTCTCTGTCACTATTACCACAGAAGAAGTTGATAACAGTTTTATCTCTAACTTCTCTGTCACTATTACCACAGAAGTGATACATTTAATCTCTAAACTTCTCTGTCACTATACCACAGAAGTGATACATTTAAACTCTAACTTCTCTGTCACTATTACCACAGAAGTGATACATTTCATCTCTAACTTCTCTGTCACTATTACCACAGAAGTGATACATTTAAACTCTAACTTCTCTGTCACTATTACCACAGAAGTGATACATTTCATCTCTAACTTCTCTGTCACTATTACCACAGAAGTGATACATTTAAACTCTAACTTCTCTGTCACTATTACCACAGAAGTGATACATTTCATCTCTAACTTCTCTGTCACTATTACCACAGAAGTGATACATTTAATCTCTAACTTCTCTGTCACTATTACCACAGAAGTGATACATCTACTCAAACACTAACCTGTCAATCTGACAATAACGTAAAACAATACACTTTTTTTTAATGCTAATTTGAAAACGTGTGTGTATATAAATCTGCAGTTACCAAAAACAGAATGTAAAATAACAAAAAAATCACCAAAGAAGACGCAGTTTAAAGCCAAATAAAACATAAATGACTAGTTTACTGAGTGAGGAATGTCCGAGAGCATCACAACGAATGAACTATAAATCTATTATCGTGTTACAGAATCCAGTAAATAAACGCAGAAAGAGACACCTCTGATCACCAGCATTAACTCTTTCTGTACCAAAAGGGAGTTGAATCAGATTTAAAGTTTGATGAGCTCCTTGGTAATGAAAGGAGTTAGTCAGTTATGTACACCTGCGCCAAATGTGCCAGGTTTCCGCAAAAGTTGATCTTGAGTTTATTCTTTAAGCACAGGAAATAACGCAGACTTTGGCTTTCAAAAATGGAGACCTTGAGACATTATAATCTGGTTGAGTTTTTCCTCTTTGGCTCTCCTCAAGTGACACAGCTGCAAGGAAGCCAAAACAAAATAGGTTAGGTTTAGCAAGTTTAAAAAACTGGATGAATCATCGGTGGAGGTTTGCCAGACACATATTCAGACATTTCTTCATGTTGGTTTCAAGAGCCCATTTTGGGGGGCTACAATGAATAAACAAGCTGAGTAGGAAGTTTCCACATGACTGCAATAGACTCTGTTGTCACCACTTGGTGTGAGCCTAACCCAGCCGTGCACAGTCTGTCACAAAAGTCAAGCCACTTTGAAAACATCCTACTCCACTCATACACTTTGCTGGACCGACAGGCATGCATCTTCAAACTGGAGACCTTTTTTTGCTGATGTTTCACCCCTTCATCATCCCTTCTCTGATCGAAATCACTACACTCAGAGGAAAGGCAAGACGGACAAATAACCAGATTGTAACCGGTACCATCAGTATTGGAACTCTGCTCTTGATGCTGAAGATGAGGACGGAGCACACATGGGAATGCCCCCGAGTGCTGTGATGTCAATTCTTGACTCAACATTCTCTGATCGAAAAATGGATCAGCTTCTCCTCCTTGGTGCATGTCAAAAGTGAGGCAGTCATCTTTAACTGTCATTATGATGTCACTGTGTGCCTGTGTTTGTCAGCACCATGATGTCAAACGCTGAAAACTCTGTACAAAAATACTGACAGGTCACTAGAAAATGACACAGTTACTATAATTTCTATCACACTTTGAAAGTTTAAAGTTTAAGCCCACTCGCTGCATTCTTCTTATTTTTTGTTTTGTTTTTATAAACATACAAATACGTAATCATTCAATACTTACAGTTCGTTTGTCTAGGAAACTTCTCATAAACTCATCAACGTCCATTTCTTCTGTAACAAATCAACAATAGGTTACAGCACCGCTATATTTATTTTAAAGTGAGTGTTAACTAACTCTTTGAGTCCCAAGGAACGCATCATACATTCACAGGTTCCTACCTAGAAGCCCAATGAATGCATGATGCGCCGATTTCATTACTTTCTTTACTACCCCCTGAGTCTGTGATTCTTAACCCCCTGGGACTTAAAGAGTTAAAGATAACTAGCAAACATATTTCTGAAACAGAATGACCAGCTTTTAATCTTTGTCACTGGATGTTGCACAAGTCAAGAACAATCTTCACACTCACTGGCATTTTTTATCACAAAATCAGCCACGGTGAATCACCTCAACACTTAGCCCTAGATATGAATTTGCTCTCTTTAATAATAAAATTCAGATTTATTAAGCTGCCAGCTGTCTGTATATTTTCTCTTAAGTGAAAAATGCTCAAAAAAATCTTCTATAATTTATGTTGTCTTCAAATTGCCCCCCCCCCCCTCCCTCCACACAATTAATGTATCACTGTGTAAATCCAGGGTCCCATTTTTAAAAATTAACAAACAAAATATAGACATTTTTAAACAATTTTTCAGACACCTGTGTAAATATTTTTTAATTTTTTTTTTATTTTTTATATTTAAGGACTTTTCAGGAAAATCCTAGTTTATTGTCCATTGTTTTAAAACATTCACAGGGTGAAAAGATTTATAGCTGTCAACCCTACCTGTGCTGTCTTCATATCCTTCATCAAAGTTTGGAGTGAGCTAAGTGCGATGGACATGGACACAATGCTGACGTGATGGAAGTTATCAAGGGTAAACTCAGGCATAAGAAGAAGAATACTCACGGTCTAAAAACTGTTCCGCTATTTTCTCAGACTCCTCGTCTGCCTCCATGACGGCGACCTTGAGGTTGGTTTGTATATGTGAGGGATGGAACTGATCTGACAGTGTCAGATGATGTTCACACAGATTCTCAAAGTCAGCCTGCAGCTGATCTAGTTCTGCATTCTGTGAGCACAACATACAACAAATGAGTACTTCAAAATGTTAACCACATAAAAGACAATGTCGCTGGTTTAAAGAGTGACCAGTTTCCTAGGGACAGTCCTGCTTTATCGGCGTGGGTCAGCCACCCCGTCAGTACTCCATAAAAGCGCCAACTGTCCCGCTTTACACAGATCTAGAAATCAGCAGTTGGAAATTTTAAAAAAATAGCCTAATGGCGCTGCCCAGAAAAATTTTGAGTTAAAAATCTACAAAAGTATTTCAGGATCCTCACCGGTGCTACAGAGCCTGTGCAATGTGGTGAGCTTCTCTTGACTCAAATTTGAGTTAGAAAAAGAACGGAGCACTTAAGGTTACTACTTGTGTGCCATGATGTTGATCTGTTGTTCAAAACCTCAAACCTGTTTTCAATGAAAACTATTTGTATTTATATCAATGATTACCACTGTTTTGAAAACACATTTCATTGGTGTCTTCAATTCTTCTTCTTCAGCATTCCGAGCCCTTGAGGTTCATTGCTGCAGACATCACCCGCCTCCATTCATCTCTCTGGTTGGCCTTCTCTTTCCAGTTGGTGACAACAAGTGTTTGTAGGTCTATCTTGACATTATCTCTCCATTGTCTTCTTGGTCTGCCTTGTGGTCATCTCCCTTGTGTATACAGTTTTTACTTCTCTGTCATCTGTCATTCTTTCAATATGCCCCAACCATTTCAGTCTATTAGCTCTCATGATGCCAGTGATCAATGGTGATTTAAACAGATTATGAATTTAGTTGTTGCTTCTCACTCCCCATTCACCACTGTTTATATCTTTGGTGTCCTTCATGGCTGAAGAAAATGTATAAGCACAGCTTTAGTTATGCCTTTATCATCGTCGGTGATACATTTATGTTTCCTAAGTATGGAAATGTATGGGACGCCCTGTGGTACAGCAGAGACACTTCAAACATATGTCTATAGCACATAGTGCACTTCTAATTACTAATATGAAAAACAGACAAGAACAGCAACATTAACACTAAAAGTGAAAGTTGCACATTTGTACAGCTGTAAAACTACAATAAATAGTTCAACAAAAATGGAAAATGATTATGGTTTGCTGGCAAAGGCTTTCTAGCCCCCAATATCCATTCTGCGGCTTCTGACTGTGTAACTGTAAAGCTAAACTGTTGTACTTTCCGTGTTTGTTGACAAACATCAAACATTTAGACTGAAGACAAATACCTTTTTTATCACAGTTTCTTTCAGACACTCAATCTCGGGCTTCTTGGATAGGTTAGCCTCTTTAGAAAACAGAAAAACAAAATCGATGAACATTCAAGAGAAACTAAATCTTCCACGTTTGCTCTTTAGAGGTTAGCCGACACATAGTGTTGTGGCTTACATCTAGGCAGCAATATCTGCACCTTTCAGTCTGGATATTCCGTTAAACTTTTTATTAGTTTCCCCTGTATGACACTGCTTGTTGGGGATCAATGGGTCGGGACACTTAAGTGCTCAGTCCCCACTTTCAGCAGCAAGCGAAGAATTCCGATGGTACCAGTGACCGTCTGATTGTATTTTCGTTTCATTCTTCACCTGAGTGTTGGCCAGATCCCCTGGTAACTCCTCGCAGCGCCATTCTCCTTCGACAGTAATGATCTATCTGCGCCTCCGCACTGTTCACTGGCTCTCAAAGGGCCTCACAATATCTCACTTGTTATACATCAATTCCCCACCAAGTGGTGAAGAGCATTATAGCAGTATCAATAATTGTAGCCGCAGCGTAGTAATAGTGGTGGTGGGGGTAGTAGTAGTATTAATAGTAAAAGTAGGAGTATAATTGTAGCAGCAGCATAGCTGTAGCAGTAATAGTAGTAGTAACAGTAACAACAGCATCAATAGTAGTATTAATAATAATAGTCAAAGCAGCAGCAGCAGTAGTGGGAGAAAAGTAACAGTAGAAAGGCAATACTAGTAGTAACAGTAGTATGTGTAGTAATAGTAGAAAAGCCAGCAGTCCTAACAGCAATAATATCAGTCAAGTAACAGTATGAATATTTCTCATTTAAGCTGAAAAACAAGACAGTCAGATAACCAGATTGCAACAGGTACCGTCAGTACTGGAACTCTGCGCTGATGAGGACGAAGCATGCATCGGAATGCCCCGAGTGCTGTGATGTCAATTCTTTACTCAGCTCAACTCATTTAAGCTGACATCTTTTCAGTAGTAGGAGGCGAAGAATAACAGCAGTAGTAGCATGAGTAATAGTAGCAACAGAAGTAATAATAAAAATGTCACATCCCAGTAGTTGGAGGAAGAGAATAGCAGTAGTAGTAGCAGTATTAGTAGCAGTCGCAGTAGTAATAATAGTAGAGTAAGTAGGAAGGACAACACCTGTAGCATCAACAGCAATAATAACAACGCAAGTGTATACAATTCTCTAACATACTTGCTAACTGAACACATTCGGATGAAAGACTTTCCCTTTTCTGAACAAACTTCACAAGGTCTGGAACTTTCTGAACCATCTCTGTAATTTTATCTTCATCTTCCATTAGTTCTTGAAGTTCATATAATCTAGAAACAAAACATAAAAAGAACCAAATAGAACCAAAAACTTATAATCATATCATTGATGTTAAACTGTGACAGGGCTAGCAAGCCGGCAGCGGATTACATTTCACTCAAAGAAACAGTAAGAAGAGAAATTGGACTGATACTAATGGAAAAATGAACCAGACATGACACTGTCAGGGAAGAAGTTGAGACGGAACCAGTACTAAATTACATGAAGAGACAACAGATCAAATGGTTTTGCCCAGTGTCAAGATTACCAGCAGACAGCGTACCACAGACAGCCCTGTTACTCAGACGTAATGGAAGCAGAGCTAGGGGTCAACCCTGATGGATAGACAGAATATCCAAGGCTGTAAATCACTAGCATCCATGTAGCATTTACCAAGGCACGCATCCAATACCTCTTCAAAATCTGATGCTTAAAGACAAAACAGAACTGGAGAAGAAGAAGAAAAAACTGTAGTATACATTCATACAAGATTCATTATTGTACAAAATCCCTGGATTTTTCCAGTTATTCAAGGAGAATACATCCCAGAAGTTGACAATTTACAAAGATTCCCTGTCAACAGTTCTAACTTGAAGATCAGTATCAATGTGTTGAAGTAAATTAGAGTAAAGAACTGTCTCACACCATTGTTGCACCAGGCATGTGGCGCTTGACCCACATTTTTATAAACCACTCAGCAATCCAGAATGTAGCCGATATTTTCAAAATTGAACCTGGCTCCCAGGTCGACCCAGCCGAAAAAGGGGCCTATGTCCTGGGAAGTAAAGGCGACTGACTTGACGTTGACTACATCGAGTGCTGACTGGTCTATATAAATACGAATCTAGCATCATATACCCTGTGCCTGACTGACATAAAACTGCCATTACTGCCTGTATTCACCTCTTCTGTGTGTGTGTGTGTGTGTGGGGGGGTGGGGGGGTCTTTAAGCCTGAGGATTTACAACAGCATGGCTACTGCTGTCACCATAGACTGTGCTGGTTAGGATTTTTTTTTTTTTTTTACTGACAGAAACAAATCCCCAACCTTCCTGAGGATTTGACCCAGGGTCTCCCACATGAAAACCCAGCATTCCTAACAGTTCAGCCAGCCACTCCTCTGGCATAAATAATGGGCCTTTATTTTACTCTGGAATGTCCCGAGTGCTGAGATGTCAAGTCTTAAACATTTAAATACTGCTTTAGCAACACAGGTCAAAGTAACCGGTGGGATTGGCACATGTTCCAATTTCTTTCTGAAGGGCCCACTAGTTTAGCTGGTTGTCTAGGATAGACTACATCTAGTCCACATGTGAGAAATGACAGTTTTTGGGAGACATACTACACACTGCTATTGTACTTTGATCTATCTTGAAAAATGTCATGCATGACATCTGTTAAAGTGGGTGTGCAATTCATCTGTAACTTCTGTAAATATATATCTCCATTTCTAGGGAAAGGCTGAAGGCGTTAAGATTCCATTCGCAGTAGCAAAAGAACTGTCAGACACAAAACCCATCCACACTGGACTTTGGGTCACCTCGTAGCCATTTTGTGTTGGTGCAGTATAACTGAGCTATCTGGTTGAAAGGGGTTTCCGGGACTTGTACCTGTTTCATTCTCAATCATGAAATGTTAATCCTACAGGCTTTAATAATGGAGGGGACAACAACAAAATTGTAAAGTACAGAACGGAATGAATAACTAGACCGTCAGCCTTACATCTTTTCTTTCTTCACGTTCACCGGCTGTAAACTCAGGAGGGAATTTCTGTTGTTCATCCACTTCTGGACTTCAGTCATGTTCCAGTATTTGAGCTTTGTGTGCACAGCAGTTTTTCAGATCTGGCTTATCTGTATGCAGACTGTTGGTTCCTTGCCTCTCGGGGAAAATGCACTCCAACTTAGAAGGAAACCCCGAATTAGTAGACTCTTAGGACATGCTTGTTATGAAAGCAGTGGATCTATTCTTGTTTTCCGATATAATGAGGACTCTTAACCCACATGGAAACCACAGACTTCAATCCTAGAGAGTAAACTCCCATTTTTTTAATGTACAGGATAGAGGTTCATAAAGCAATGGCAAACTACTAAATGTAAAATTTGCCTGAAAAAAACCACAAAGCCAAAAAAGGTTGGAGTTGGTTCTGCAACATCCTATAAAGGATATGCAGCTAACATGAGAAAGGAATGGATGACTCAACTGCAGCCCTATGTGACAAATAATCGAACAACAGGAGAATGATGATGATTTCTAGTAACTCGAACCATTTCACCAACCAATCATTTCTACTTGTTTCACACACATAACTCACTTCATATCTTTCAGAGCTGGAAACTCAGATAAAATATTTGGAACTGAAAAAGACCCCAGCGCCGACGACTCGGACCCCATCTCACCCGCTGCCCCCAAAGCTGGAGCTCGTCGAGGGGGCAGGGGAGGAGGGACCACATGTGGCTGACTCCCAGGGAAAGGGTACGACGGTTGACCCGGATAACTTGCCAGAGGAGGCTGTGACGGGGTCACGGCTGATCCTATTGTTGGATTGTTGAAGCCTAAAATACTGAGAAATACAATAATTTATTAGTACTTTTTATATCTTTAAAAGCAGTGGCAAACTTTCAACATGAAACAAAATACAGGGTGACTGAAAATTAACATCCCATAAACTTCTAAAATGAAACAAAATACACGGTGACTGAAAATTTACTTCCCAGTTTAACATGTTTAAGAATTATTTATTTATGGTGATTTTTGTCTCCAATTGTTTTGTGTTTGATCCTTAAAGTATGAGAATGTAATCTGTAAATGTAATCTGTTTCAGACTGAATTATTTTGTTTGGCAGCCTAACAAACATGGCTGGGCATCTTACCCTGCAGGAGTGTGCACGGATAGTGGCACGTTATAAAGTATAGAAACCAGCTGTTCGAGTGCAAAGACAGTAGAGGACCATTAGAGAAGTACATACTTAAGTTGTCAGTTGATAGTATTTGTTCATATTTGTATGATAAATTATTTTTTATCCAGGTCACCGAGGTGAAAGGGTTAACTCAACTTCTTCTTTTACCGCTTCAAGTGTCGAGCGAGAGACAGGCTTCAGGTTCTTGCTCTTCTGGTTTTTCATTGCCGAAGCTTGCTCCTAGCATCACCATCATCCCTGTTCTTCACACAGGGCCTGCAGTTCAGTCTTTCTTACAGCACAGCTGCAATATTTGCCCCTTTCAGCGCAAGCTGGAGGAAAAGAGAGACGGAAGCAGAACAAGAGAGAAGAAGCTGGACACTTTGCCATCATGACCTAAAAGAACCTACATATCAAAAACTACTGGCTATAAACATGAGATGAAGCTGTACAAGTGACAAGACCTGCATACAGCAAAAAGTTAGAGAGGTACTTACTAATGCTGAGGCACAATTGCTGGGGGTGTCTTCTTAAACTCCTCTAACACAGCCTGCACAGCCTGGCCTAAATCTGAATGCATGGAGAACTGCAAGCACAGAAGCAGAACATATCAATACTGGAAACACCTGCATAATACAGCACTTAGAAAAGGTAAACATAGTCCTATATTAGATATTAGACACATCCTCAGTTTTTTACTTCTTAACTTTCCCTCTGCCAGTGATTGTCAGATATGAAGCCAATGGCAAAAAAGGCTGTGATGCCACACATGCCCTCCACTGATCCACACAGCTAGGCAGAGAGGCCAGACCTGCGATCTCTCTCTATTGCATGTCTGTAACATATGTTCATTATCTCCCTATCTCAGGGTTTTTTTTTAGATGTGAAGACCACAGGCCTCTATTAAGGCAGAGGTGCAAGGCATCGTCTCAGCTGATCCATACAGCTTGATCCCAATGAATGCCAACCGACCAAACCTAGGATCTCTCTACTGCATGTAGAGACCATGTCTGTAGTACGTGTTGAGGATCCTTTGATGCCTCTCCACACTGGACAATCCAGAGTCTCCAAACTACAGCAGATACTGCTAATGTGATCTAAGTCCAGGAAGCTGTCTTCACACATTCTGATCCAGGACACAATGAGTTGAGGTGGCCAGTTTCTATTCTATTTGCTGTACTCTCCCAGACAGTTTCTATTCTATTTGCTGTACTCTCCCAGACAGTTTCTATTCTATTTGCTGTACTCTCCCAGACAGTTTCTATTCTATTTGCTGTACTCTCCCAGACAGTTTCTATTCTATTTGCTGTACTCTCCCAGACAGTTTCCAGAAATGTCTCCTAAAAAGCAAGTTGGTACTGCATCCGAAGAAAAAACCTCTACATCAACCTCACCCTGACAGATGCAAGCACTTTACAAGACTGAACACCAAAGTATCAATTGAAGAGTTCCAATAAAAACATTTAGATGTTACATTTTGTTATTTGGTTTCAAAAGTTAATTGTTATATACTCTGTCCTCATGGGTACTGTAAAAATTTTTTCCATATTTTTATTTCTAACGCTTAAGTTTTTCAGCCTCAATTTAACAATCTTATTCTTTGGATTTTTTGGCTGTAAATTCCGGCGGAAAGTTCTGGTTGTTCATCCACTTCTGAACTCTCCCTGTTCCATTCCAGAACATGTGTGTTGTGTGCACATCCATTTTACAGATGTGACTCATTTGTATACAGACTGTTGGTTCCTTGCCCTTCAGGCACATGCACTCTGACTTTGAAGGACGTTCTCAATAAGTCAACTCTTACGAAAAGTTTTTGGGTTGGCAGTAGTTCTGTGCTTGTTTTCCCCACAACAGGGCCTTGGAGCCCACAAAAGAACAATTTAAATTCTAGGGCTTGAAACCTTCTAGACACTCAATTCAGCCTACTATGGCTTCACTTTTATATTTTAGGGCCCTAGTTCTACTGCTTGTTCACTGGCCCAGTTACAACAGAGACAGAATAAATCAACATAACAAGTGGCCACAACAGAACAAATAAAAAGGCATATCCTCTACAAATTAACCAATAAATGAATGGTTCGCTGTGTGCTAAAGAATTAATTAAATAAATTGCAACAAAAGCCCTGTAACTGGTGCATTTACTCCCCCAGCAGGTCTCAGTGCACCAATACGTGTGTGTGTGTGTGTGTGTGGCTGGTGCATTTACTCCCCGAGCCAGTCTCAGTGCACCAATATGTGTGTGTGTGCACACATGTGTGTGTGTGCACACATGTGTGTGTGTGACTGGTGTATTCACTTCCCCAGCAGGTCTCAGTGCACCAATACGTGTGTGTGTATGCACACATGTGCATGTGTGACTGGTGCAATTACTCCCGGAGCCGGTCTCAATGCACCAATATGTGTGTGTGTATGCACACATGTGCATGTGTGAGACTGGTGAATTTACTCCCCAAGCCGGTCTCAGTGGACCAATATGTGTGTGTGTATGCACACATGTGCATGTGTGTGAGTGGTGCATTTACTCCCCCAGCAGGTCTCAGTGCACCAATACGTGTGGGTGTGTATGCACACATGTGCATGTGTGTGGCTGGTGCATTTACTCTCCGAGCCGGTCAGTGCACCAATACAAGTGTTTGTATGCAGGCATGCGTGTGTCCATGTAAGTGAGAGAGATGGAGAGAGAGAGAGAGAGAGAGAATGAGAGAGAAAAAGAGAGGAAGAGAAAGAAAGAGAGACACACAAAGAAAGAAGGAAAGAAAGGAGGACAGAAAGAGAGACCTACTGCCCCTTAACAAGCATGTTGTAAAAGGTAACTAATTAAGGGTCCGCTGAAAAAGGAAGTGCTAGGCTAAAAGGCACAGATATCACAGCCTAGCTGTAAACCACCCTTTTAAGGGCAAACTCAGAAGAAGAAGAAGGACTGCTGAGTCACAACATGTATGAGTGCCACAGAATCCTTGCCAGGCTGAAGAAATGTCTATTATCACTGCAAACAAGTCCAGGATACAAGGAAAATTGGTGGTTTCCCCTTGCTCAATTTACTCCATGTTTGCTTGCACTGTATACACTTCTTCTGTTGAACGGAAGTTGGGAGATTGCTTATCAGGTGCTATTTCTGACAACAATGACAGTCCTGTCCAGTCAGTCCACATTATTTTTTTAAACCTGACTTCTAATTTCACTGTGACTGTTAACACAGAACGACAAACACATATGGAAAAGATACCAGAGAGAGAAGTAGAATTTTTTTAAAAAGGTGGGGGGGGGGTGGCTGCAGATTTTGATAGAACAGCTTGAGGTATAAGCTCCAGTAAATGTTTGTGTACAGGCATTTGTGTTTGTGTGTGTGTGCATATGCATATGGGTGTGTTAAGGCCGCGTTAGCACAGTCAATAGGAGACTCACTTTCAAATCCCGCTGCGACTTGCTGCAGCCCACGGTCAGTGTTCGAAACCGGGCGGTTGCCGGGGTTCACCCAGCCTCTAGGTAATGGGTACCAGAGTTAACACTCTGTAAATGGAGGAACATCCCTGTAGCTATGGAGTTTCTTATCAGCTATCCATACTGGTGGCAGAGCACTTATGGTTTATAACCGTGTGCAATGACGCTGGTTCACATCTCCCGACTTTACCTTTACCTTTTTCTATGGGTGTGTGTGAAAGAGAGTTTGGGCATGTGCATATAAAAATATTTGAGTGTGCATGTGACATTGTGTGAACGTATGTGAGCACATGTGTACACATGACTGCGTGTGAGAGAGAGAGAGAAAGAGAGTGTGAGAGTCTGAAAATGACCCTCAGTGGGTGTGTTGAACATGGGTGTGCAAGTCTGAAAAGGGCAGAAAAAGACTGTGACAAAAGCCTATTTCTACATGCTGCTGCAACTGTTCACTAAGGATCTATTTGGGCTGAACAGACCTCCTGCCTCCCTAGAAAGCATGCCCTACAAGGCGACTGATTAGAGATGTTTCCTTCGAAGTCCATCTGCCTGACAAGGCAAGGAACCAACAGTCTGCATACTAATATGCTACATCAATGAAACGAATATGCACGCAAAACTCATGTTTTGGAACTGGATAAAAGTCCTGAAGCGGATGAAAAACTAAAGCTTTCTGTCATAGAATTAAACGGCACACACTAAAAAAAGTAGTAGTTCACAAAACAGCGATGAATCATAAACAAATTGTGCCAACCTTCCCGTGGTAATGACAGCTGACCACAACTTACATTATTAATATTTGGGCAGCCCACAACTTTCATCTGAGAATCCACCCATGGATGAGTGACTGCCGGCTGGACCGTAATCACTGGTTTTTCACTAGGGAACTGTGATGGTAGATTTCTGAAGAACACAGATTAAACACACTTTTTACGACTGGTGATCACGCTGCATAGGCAACAAATGGTCTCTACAATACTATCAAGATGTGGGTCAAAAGATATGGACTTAGGTCAAAATATGTGGTTGTATCATAAAGATGTTTGATTGCATCTTAAAGACTTCAGTCAAAATGTGTGCAAAATATGTGTTTGTACAATAAAGTCGTTTGACTGCATCTCAAAGACTTCAGTCAAAATGTGTGGTTGTACCTGTGCTTTTCAGTTCGCATGTTAAATGTCCAAGTTTAACACATTTGTGTTTTCACAAAAAATAATCACACTCTTAGAACTCTGGTTCTGTTTGTTTGTCCTCTTCTAGACTTTGGTCTTATTCCAGAACTTTGAGTTTTGCATGCATGTCTATTTTACATGTCTGGCTTACTTATAGGCATACTACTGGTTCTTTCCTTTCAGGCAGACACACGTTGACGCTGAAGGAAACACCCCTAATAAGCTGTCTGTTATGACATGCCTATTTTTTCGCTTACATACTGGACACTGCAGACTCAATAAACACTCATATAAATTAGGTATGAGCCAAACAGCTCTCTGCCAGTGCCTTCGTGCTGAACAGACTCCAGAACATGTCCTGCAAGACTGTCCTCTCCTGGCGGAGCAACAAATGGCAACACCCAGTAGAACTGACAACTAAGCTTTGGGGAAACCTAAGAGACCTTGAAAAGACATCCCAGTTTATGACCCACAGTGGAATATGCGCATGACCAGAGATCGCTGAAGAAGAAGACATGCTTATAAGGGAGGTAGGGGGAGGGTGTTCTTATCTCTCCCCCCCTCCCCAACCTTAAATGGGTCTCCAGAATGCACATATGGAATATAATAAACAAATTTGTTGTCTGTTTTATCAGCTGTCATTATTTTCATTAACATTACACATTAATATGTTACGAGTGAGGCCTAAATTAACCAGCAAAACAAAACTACTAGATTTAAAATATATTTTCGCACAAAATATTTTAATATAGAATAACAAAAGTTCAATAAACTATATTACTGACACCCCCCCCCCCCCCCCCCCCCCCCCCCCACAGGTAAAGGTACCTTTTTACATTCATCAGTGGGGTATTGGGCACATTATAATAAACTCATATATGTATAGGTCAATCAGCATTTGATGGGTGGTGTGGTCAATATCACACCAGCTGCCTTTATTTCCCTTGAAATTACCTTGTAAACAGTTCAGGCTGGGTCAAACAGGCAGCCAGGGTCATTTTTGTGTAAATATGACTCATTGCGGATTAGAACCCAAGATCTTCAGACCAGTAGGGGTAAGCATTTAGCCCTTTTTCTATTTAAAAAAAAAAAATAAAAACTATTATTGAAAAATGCATACTTACATCAAAATTGTCAAACTGGCACTGCCTTGATGAAATATAACTCTGTACTCTACATCCCTAATTATTTCCACGGCCCTGCAACAGATTTCACAAGTAACAAATGTTTTGATCTGTATCTCTGATAACGTTCCCTTAGTTATATTTATCAATCTCTTTGTTTCATTTCTTCTTCCCTTTTACCGGCTGTAAACTCTGGCGAAAGATTCCGGTTTCTCATTCGCTTATAACTTGAGTTTTGCATGCACATCTGTCTTATAGATCTCGCTTATTTGTAAGCAGACTGTTGGTTCCTCACTTCCCACAGTGTATGTTCAGGCAGATGCTCTCCGACTGCAAAGGAAGCACACCTGATTAGGCACTTTTTATTAAATGCTTGTTGGGGAGTAAAAGGGGGGGGGGGGTATGGTCAGAGCGTCTATTCTTTTTCTCCCAAAATGGGGCCTCGGAACCCAAACAGGGATGTTTTTGTGCGAAAATACCAGATCAACTGCTTCGGTACTGAGCAACTCATGATAATTATATACATAATATCCTATTTATTTATGTACATTTTGTCAGTTTTTATATGTTAAGATTTTAACTCATTCCGACTCAAACACCGGACATTTCAGAAAATAACTTCTTCTAATAAAATGTGTTGAAATAATCAGCAACTTCCGAATAACGGTTCCAAATTATCGAGACCAAAAATATACCCTAACAGGGCCTCAGTCACATGTAAATTTCGCACTTCCGGCGACTAGTGCCACTGCCGAGAGTATCTCCCATGCCGATATGCAGCGTGAATTGGGGCTAAACTAGATGGCTGGGACTCACGAGCAGCAGCTACCACATCTCCTTTAGCTTCTTTTATTTTATTTGCTCGTGAGTCCCAGCCATCTAGTTTAGCCCCACTCCACGCCGCTATGCGCAGCGTGGGAGATACTCTCAGCGGTGGCGGAAGTTCTCAATTTACATGTGACTAAGGCCCTGTTAGGGTATATTTTTGGTCTCGATAATTTGGGACCGTTATTCGCAAGATAGCCAAATAATCATATATTGGTAACAAAAGAGTTAAATTAAGTTATCATTGAAGCAGAGAAGTAAAAACTTGTCTCTTAAAGTTAGAAATGGCATTTAATCACTTTCACATATAATTATGAATGCTCTATGAAAATATCTTAAAGACGTAGGTGTGTGGCTTTCTAGAAAATTGTTAAAAACACCTCACAAAGAGCCAAATATGTCAATTAACTAATTTAACTAGTTGAGTAGTCACAGAGTTAGGTTAGTTGCGTATCCTTTACAGCATGTTGCAGAACCAACCCCAACAGCCCCTGGCCTTTGTGTGGTTTTTCTAGGCAAATTTACGTCCAGTAGTTTGTCATTGCTCCTGGACGGTCGGCTTTCTTGATACGACTGTCGAAACCAACGCAAGGCGCATGGCCCGCAGCTGGGATCGAACCCGGCATTATGAAGCGTTCGGCGTTCGCATCGACTTAGCCACAGGTTTTTGAATAATAAATTGTATAAATAATGAAAGCGAAAACAATAGTTTTAATTGCCTTACGTACCCGACTTTTCGCAGGCTCTCAATCTGTTTGGATTTCTGTGCCTGGAGATTGGTGGCCGAAGGGCCTTTGTTTTTCCCACCTCCAAATAATCGATTCATGGTAAGAATTAACAAATAACAGGAGTGTCAAGGTGACTCAGTCACAAGTATGTGACCACTGCCACCGTCGGTCGAGACAGAAACGAAAACAAATGTGACTGTGACAGTTAAGTTTAGCAGACTAGAAATGTCTGTATCCTGCCCGTGTGTATATGCGTACTACGTCATACGCCTTTGTTAACACGAAGCTCGTCGCTTTTGTCATTCGCATTATAATGAAGGCATCACGTTTGACACTTGAGACGGCCAAGGATAGGGTAACATGATCGCCTGTGAAATGTATTGTTCGTTAGAGATTACTAAATATACAGGTGTATATAGGGGACGATACAAAAAAAAAGGCGTACACATCATGCGGTACAATCGAAGCGGGATTAAGTTTGTTAAAATGAAACTGGGTTGATCCATAACTCAGTTGTGATTGACAGGTGTGCCAGATTAGAAGCAAACTTTATTTTCAGAGGGTTACAAATTGGGCACGCAGGCCCGTCTGGCATTCGGCCCTTCTAAGCACTCATCTTTCAGAGTGCCAATGCCTGTTATCAATAATGCATGTTATGTTTATTTATTTATTTTTTTAAATATAATTATGTGACTAAAGTGTAATTTGTATTGCTTCATGTTTTGCTTTGATTTAGGATGTGATTATGATAGAAATTATACTATGAATAATTAGACAGTCTTACCAACATTGTGTCATTAACATGGTGGATATATTATTTCCTTAGTGTGCAATCATTGATCACTCTCCTCGATTTTATCTTTAGGGGAAACTCCTTTAAAGTTGCCATGTGCATTCTTTACTCTTCTATATATTGATTTAATTCCTAGTAATAAATTGATTTTTTTTTTTTTAGTCACAGTAATAAAAAATCGTTTGAATCGTGTCCTTCTGAGCGATCTTGATGCAAAGATGTTTTAAAAGTATCACTCATTAAAAGCAAACTATTGGAAAAGTTAAATACGAATTAGCAAATGGTGGTCAGTTATATGAGTGGAATTATCACACAAAGATATTGCAGGACAGCATTCTGACAGTGTTACAAGCGGCGCTAAAGACAAGATACGTTGGGCATTCATTACAGCCAAGCTTCGTTATGAAGACGACACCTGTTTTGTTGAATTAATTAAAAAAAATCACGACAAGGTTCCAAAATATTATTCGTCATTGTAGTCTGTGTTTCCTAGAGCAAGAGGCAGACCGAGAGTACGATGGATAGACAATATATCAGAGATCCTGAGGCAACACGGACTAACAACAACACGTGCAACACACCTGGCCCAGGATAGAAAACTGCGACTCCCCACTACGCTGTGAGGCAATTGTGGACAAGACAAGACAAGTCTGTGTTTTAGATTATCTTTTCCCACTCTACGCTCAGAAACTAGCAGGGTGTTTAAGAATGGCACTGAAACCTTAAGATTTAGTAAAAATGAGTACCCTTTACAGGACGTTGCAGAACGGACCCCAACATTTGTTGGTTCTTTTGGTTTAACTGTGCAATTTAAGGTTCATTAGTTTGCACTTGCCTACATGGTCGGCTCTCGAGCACACTGTAGACATCAGCTCGAACCTTGCATCTGTGAATTATAAAATAGGCTGCTATAAAATATGCTGCATATCGTGAGGTCCCTTGAAAGAAAAAGATAAATGACAAAGTTGCGCAAGTCAAATATTTCCAGGAACGTCATAAAGGGAAGCCCTCAGAAACTAATAAGGGTACAAATTTGTGAGTAGATGGAGCCTTTATTTTTGGGTGGAAGGTGTCCAAAATTAGGTCGCTAACTACCCACAAATTTGCAGTGATGTCGCAATCAAAAGACGGGTAATGAGAAAGAGGAGCAGTTGGAAGTGATAACAACAATAGAGGAGGAGGTTGTGGTGAACGGAGGAGGGAGGTGAAGAAAGAAGAAGATATGGACGAGAAAGTGAATACATGAATGGGTAAAAAAAGAGGAGAGCGAGGTGTGGGTGTTGTCGAAAAGGAAGCAGGAAACGAATACAAAATCCTGGAAACGTATGTTATATTCTTTAGTAGAAGCGATCGTGGAAAGTCTGTGTGTACAAGAATCTTCAAACTATAGACATATACAACTGAAAACTGAATCTACATATTGACTGCTCGAGATGTTTACACTAGAGTGCAACGGAGGTAGTAATCAATAGTCAGCAACGTTATACTACTTCGAGGGAACGCTTTAAGGGTGTATCTCAAGTTTGAAGTACTAACACCGGTTTTTGTAAGCACTTTACATTCGCTTGAATTGATACAGGTACAACTTGGATGCCATGACTATGCAATTCTGAATAGCAGTTACCGCAACCTGAAGGCGGATTATAAATGAACAGACTTAAGGGCCTTCCTGAATTCTTTTCTATTTGAAAGACAACTGCTGTACCACCTATGTCATTTATTAAATAGGCAGAAGTAACTTTACTGTGTGTACTTAGTATCAAATCGTTTGCTTGATTTAATGGATGTATTATATTTTCATTCTAATCAAGGACAAGCCTGCAGAAACCGGTTGTGGGGCAGAGAAAAAAGATACTGGGTACGTTGACCATGAAGACACGAAGATGACTGCTGTCTCGGAGGACGGAGCACGAATGGGTGGGACCGGTGTGCTAGGATGTCGATACGGACAAAAAGCAAGCAGAAATATTATTTTCATGTTTATAGGCGTTCAATCGCAGTCCATGGCGACAGCACTAGATATGCTGCCTTAAATCTATATGTTTAGACCCCGAAATCTAGCAACCCTAGATGTGGCAGCGGCTTGAAAACTGTCCTTTACTTATTTTCTTACCAGGTTACCCTTGGCAACCATCTGTATCGTCTTTCTTCTGGAACCTATGGCTTTGCAACACTGATTAGTCAAATAGCTAGGACGACCTTATCTTCTTGGCAACCCAACACGATGAGTTATGGAATAAAAGATGCAAAACATTCTATAGTTACGTAATGAGGTCACTGACTTGTCGCAGTGTTAATTTCCAAAATATTAGAGATCTTTTTCATGATTACGTACTGGGGTATTTTATAAAAGACGTTTCTAAGAAGTGAAGAACAGAAACACACCTACGTGGGTAAAAAGACGATTAAAGGCTTCGTGTATCTCTACTACCTAAGGTAGAAAAAAATGGGACGACACACACACACACATATGTACCAGAATGTAAGTTATATTTTTTCTGTTGCCTAATGTAGAGTAGATGAGAAGACACACATAAATAAACACACTACACTCTTTTACACAAACACACTCCTGACTTTAACCTTTTAACCTTTAAGGAGACATGATTAGTTTCTTGTGGGTAGAAGTGTGACAAAATTATGGAGATCCAAAAACAGTTCATGCAAAACTAAGAATTGATTGCTCAGAGCACTAGCTACTAGTACATTTACATGTGGCTGTGAAACGTGGACCTTACTTAACAGCTGGACTCGAAAGGAAGATACAAGCATTGGAAATGCGATGTTTCAAAAAAAAATTCTTGGCATATCATAAAGAGACCACATTACAAACGAAGGAGGTCGCTATATAATTATACAGCACATTGGCAACTATGAATCTCTTTTAACTGCAGTGAAAAGGCGAAAAATGCAATGCTATGGACATGTAATAAGATCTAACGGCCTCTCAAAAACAATACTGCAGGGCTCAGTGGAGGAAAGGAGGAGAAGAGGCAGACCAAGAAAAACCCGACTGACTGGACAGGCCTCAGGCATGCAACCATGAAGTCCATCGCAACTACCGACAAAGGTGGAGAGAGCTGATCAGTCAGTCAACAGAAACTGGTTACTCAACGATACGTAGTGTTTAGGAATGATGGTGATGATGATGATGATAAATGGGGCAAATGTAAAAATAAATACCTAATATGGAATACTGTATTTACAATCCCCTATTTCCTAGAAAAGAGGGATGGTTACGAGTCAAAGAAAGACGTATAAACTCTCCTTATCAATAATATTATAATCCTGTTTCATAAGGTGCACACACACAGACACACACACACACACACACACAGAAACACACACACAGACACACACACACACACAGACACACACAGACACACACACACAAACACATACAATAAGAAGAAAGAAGAGGGGAAACACATACTGTTAGTGTTGGCTTCGTGATTCTGTGCAGAGCTTTGCAAGATCTTTCCTCATTCACACATGCCTTTTGTTCCCTATAATTATGTTTGCTCTCTTCTCTTGCACAACTTTGTTTCCCAGTCACTGTGTATTAAAACCTAACAGCTTCTCTAATTGAAACGTGTTTTTTTTTTAACTCTAATTTTCGTGTACAGTCCTGTTTGCCAGTGTTTTTGTCTTTGCGTGCTTAACGTTTTGGGTCATTTGATTAGTAGTGTATTGATTCTGTTTTTTGCTGATTAGTAATTAGTTTCACAAGTAATTATCTGGAGTTCCACGGGGGGGGGGGGGGAAGGGGGGTGTCAGAGAAATCATTATGATCTTAGGGCCCCCTCACAACTTCTAAGGGCGAGGGGCTCCAAGGTATTAATTGGTATAAATGCAGATAAATAATAATTTTTTATTATCATTATTATGTGTTCAGTGGCAAATACATGTAATACTATTTTTTACAATAAACTGAGACCCGTGGCTGGAAGCTCACCTGCGGGGTGTGGGTTTGGGTTCTGACGAAGTCGGACTAATGTTCAGAAATGACCTTGGCTTTCAGGTCGACCCAGCTTTGAGTGGGTACCAGGCAAAGTCATAGGAAGTAAAGCCGGCCGGCGTGCTGTTGACCACATCACCTACCGAGTGTCGATTGGTCTATAAATCTATAAAATATAAGGTCAAACTTATATGCCCAATACGCCTCAATGCGTGGAAAAGGGTCGTCTACTTTATTTAACATATTTTGCAGTGTATAAACAAATAATTGAAAGAAGAGTTCCACTATACATGATTGGGGGGAAAAAAAGGGGGGGGGGGAGGGGAGAGTTATTTTGTCCTTTAAAA